CTGTACTGATAATCTGTTGGAACCCGCTGGATGGAACCAGAACTTCTGTTCTAAAAATACGATATATTTCTGGAATCTGCCTCATAAATACAACTGTCAACCCCTTTAATCAATCTGCTGTATTTTAGGATATTAGTTTTTTTTTTTTACTCTAAATTTCTTTTGCAATGTTTTTTTTTATTTTTTATTTTTTTGACGCCTGCTTAGTTTTTAGTTACTGATTTTGAACACTGTCTTCCTGTGTGTAAAGATTTGGAGGAATTTCTATTCGCCATGTCACCATGTCACCCCCCCCCCACCCCCAAAAATAAAACATATAAGAGAATTTATTTAAATCTTTCCAAACATTAAACTTGAAAAAATGCAAAGACTGATAAAAGTTTTCTACAGCAGGAGATTTAATTGCCCTCTCTTATCATTATGCAAACATAAATGAGTTATTCTGCTGCAGTTGGAGCTCTGGCTAATTTGGAAAGAACAAGGCATTGCCCAAAGGGATTAGAAACTTACTCACCAGTTTGCTTTTCTCTCTTTCTCCTTTCTTTATTGTTTTATCCTGTTTGACATTGAGCAGCGCAGGACATTTTATATTCTAGGCACATTTCCAGTTTACTGAATTTGAGAGAAATAAAAAGAAAATCTGCTTACATTCATATCTAAAGGTTAATAAAATACATATTTTGGGAGCGTTGGACCTCAGAGGTGCAGTAAGGTGTTAACAGTCTGGTATGAGACAGTGAACCCAACACTGGATGGTCAACAGGTCGTATAACAAGCCAGAGGTCTCATTAAAGGTAAACTTAGACTGATCAGTAGGTGTTGGTGTATTTTGTAATGCTTGGTTCACAATGAGTGCAATGAGCTATGAGCAGCCAGTTAACGTCTAAAGTACATCAACCCTTCAGAGATTCCATCTCAATGTTTTTAAATTTCACAATGACGTTACATCTGCATTTCGACGTCTCTGTAGAGGAAAGAGCAGCACAGAGAGCCACTGCAACAGCAGAGATTAGATGGATAATGTTTAAAAGAAATGCTTTTGCACTCAGAATTATATACTTAGTAGAAATATACTACGTACCATAAAAAACTGGACCTCAATGAAATATGAGAATATTTATCAAAAGTCATGTCAAAACTTCTTCCCGCCTCTGATTGGTGACTGTGAGTGTTTTTATATGAAAGCAACGTCTCTGTTGGATCTTGTCTATCATTGAGTGTTTGGGTCCAGAACAGGATCTTCTATCTATCAGTTTTTTTGTGCTGGTAAAGATTCTCAGTCATCCAGGTCAAAGCCATTCCAAAAAAGTAAAAAAAAAAACAATCCACTGGATTTGAAAATGTCAGAAATAACATTGAGTTCCAGGCTTTACAGAGTAGCCCAAAAAAACCTTGTTTTAGCTTTTTTTTTTGCATGTTTTTTAAGCAAAAACAAGGCTTTGTTGGTCCACTCTATAAAGCCTGGAACTCAACACTATTTCTGACATTTTGATTTGAAAAAGCTTCCTGGATGGGAAGAGAAACGTCTTTAACTTGGAAACAAAATCCAGTGTATTGTTTTTTTTTTTACTTTTCTGGAAGTATTATTTATATTCATATTTAGCAAGTTTTACATTTCTGACGGTTTTCTTACATTTTTACAACTGCAGACAACTTATCTATCCTCAATCCTTTTACCAGCGGTCCCAAATATTTCAGCCTCTGAATTTATAAATAAAATTAGTGTTAGAGTTTAAATTATAATTTCAAATGCAATTTTATGCATAAAAAAAAAAAAAAATAATGATTGAACTGAGCATTTAATAACTTATCGATATATTCCATATTCAAATCATGTATTAGATAAATCTGTATAAAGCCAAATACAGATTAAAATGATGAAATGTATATCTAAATTAATTCATTTAAAAAAATTATGCAGATGTTTTAAAGAAGCTGATTTCCTAACATTGTTTTCTCCTGAATTACATTAATGATGGTCCACAATGGGATGTTCTACCAACGCTCTGTTGAATTCTCCTCTCATCTGTAATAAATGTATAGTTCCAGTGTGAACATGTTCTCCACCATCCCCCGTGAGCTAAAGAAATCCAGCCAACTCTCAGTGCAAAAGGAGCTGCCTTCAACGTTTTAGTAGAACCCTCAGAAAATTTAGAAATCATCAGTCAGGTTGTGGCCCCAGATTTTCCAGCAGAGATCACTGAACTCTGATAGGAAGGAAATATTGATGGCCCGCATGGCTGCCTGATGAGAAACGGTGAATTTTCCTCCCTCTCGTCTCGCCCTGACCCATTAAAGATTTATAAAGAGGAAAGGCAGGATTTGAGAAGTCTTAAATATATTCCAAATTTTATTAAATGCCGGGTGGGTGAAGTCCCCTGTAGATGAGCCTTAACCTTCATAGTATGTTTCCTTTCTAATTTTAGCCTCAGAAGGCAGAGGTTGAAGGAGGGAGATTGCCTGCTTATGAATCATAAATAGAAATATGGATTCACACATTGGGGTACTTTTAAAAAAATATCTCTATTAGGTCATGTACATTTTGCTATTACGATTATATGATGGAAGTCTCACAGTTATATTGCAAATCAAAGAATAAAAATGAGGCACTTGTTAATAAGATAAAGGTAAAATCCTTTTTTGATTGGAGGATATATTTAAACGTTAACATCAAAGAAGATGATTGATAAAGCTCTGTCCAGCATTTTCATTGAATTTAATTTCAATGTCTAATCAGTTATTGACAGTTTTAAGGCAAATCAAGTGTACTAATATAACAACTCTGTGCGAACACAATTCAGAATGCATTACATGGAGAAAAAAAAAAAAAAAAAAACTCATGATCTTGGCACTGAGACTGATTTAGTGGTTTACTCCATTCACCTGCCTAGCTCGGCCCAGTTTCTCATTACTGTTCATCTCATCCTCCTGCTTCTGCCACTATTTAAGCAGCTTGCTTCTAGTCATTAGTGCTAGAATATTCAAGCCTTCAGCGAGAGTTCTTTAGAGTACCTGTTTGTTGTTCTGATTGCCTGATCTTGACTAGTCGTGCCCTTGGACCCTTGAGCCTGCTGTTCCTGTTTCGATTTTTTTTTTGCCTGACCTGTCTTCAGACTCCTGCAAGTGATTCTGACTGTGGACTGAACCTGAATCTGCCTACTGACTTCGACTTGGCTTTCCCATCTGTGCCTCTTCGGATCTCTGATCTTCTGATCTGGACTCCTGTTAGCTCTTCGTCACCAGCTTGGGCTTGTTCTTCTGGAGACTCCTGCCTTCCTTCATCTGCTTGGGTCTGCTCGTCAGCCAGTTCAGCAGTCTCCAGGCTCTGGCTCCTGGAACCCTCTCAGTAGCTGTTGGGAGCCATCCAGCTGGATTCATCTCCTTATTCTGGGCACCGACTGATCTCTAAAACTAGGTTAGTGACTCACATGCATGTAATCATTTTCCCTCTACAGATTCTGCCCTTTGATGCCCAACCTGCTGAATTACAGATCTGACATACTTTATAAATGCTTTCGTGAAATACACTAATCTGTCTGCTTGAACCCTGGGTCTGAAGGTGCGGGGCCTTGACAAAAAACAAAGCCTGATTGCTGCTTTCAAAATTCCATCAGGATTGTGCCAGAACCTTTGTTATAGAGATAAGAAGTTGAAATGTATCCAGATATCAGCATATGTTAGTGTATAGATACATTGTAGAACAAAATTGTGCTAAAAAGGTTTTTTATTCAATATAAACTTCTAAAGAGCGCCAGATCTAAATTAGATGTGTTTTCTTTTTTCATGAGAGACAGTTCTCTAACATTTAGATGTTACAGTCGAGTGTAGGAGGTGATGGTCTTCCCATGCACCACCTTAACACAATGCCAGGAAGGACGTTGGCAGGCCCTGAACGCCGGCGATGTGGGAGCCCGCACATTGCAAAGGCATTAAACCTCACAGTGAATATAAATAGGAGGACGAACCTGCAAGATAGCTCCAACGGTAAAGACCATCCGTCACTGCCAAGTTTGGAAAGTCTCAGCAGGCTTTGGTTCTTTTGAGAACAATTGCAAATGTCGAGAGCAGAAAAAAGGAGGTGAAAGGGAAACAAAAAAACTGAAGCCTGCTCTTTCAGATACTCTCAAAAATTCTGAGGTTATGACGTTCTTTTTTTATTATCGGAGCTTCTATAAACAGTCCCAGCGATTCCAGCTAAGAGAGTTACAAGCTGCAGCTAAACAATAAGCTTCCACGCCGTTAACTAGTGCACCTCAGCTGCAATAACTGACACAAGCAGAGCCAGGAACACGAGAGAGAAAGGCTTGGCAACGGCACTGTGAATCTGCTGGCCTCCACCCCATCACAGCCCACGGGCATGTGCCTGGTAGAAACGCATCAACATTCCCTCTGCAAGGACAGGAGGGAAAAGAAAACAGATCTCCACCCAACATTTGTAAGAAACTCTGGGTTTTAAAAACACACTTTTGAACTTTTTCCATCAATGTCCACGCAAGAACTGATTAGGAATTAATTTGCCCACGGTGGCGACGTCACCAACAGAGAAAGAAGAAGAATAAAAAAAAACGCCACCATGCTGCAACGGCTCTGTTCTCTGCGTTTCCAAGGAGACAGGAGCACATTGGTATTCTGAGGGGGACACTTCATAAGCAATTGTGAGTGAAAGAAATGTGAGGGAGAAAGGAGATGGAAAACGGTAATACATAAATGCCTTTGTGTAAAGAGTACAGTCAGATACAGGCCACTGACAAGTTTTACACATAGATAAGGGCAAAGCGTGCAAAATGTGTTCATGCAGCAACATAAAAAACACATTCATAGCTTTACTGCTTCAATGTACAACCAGATAATAATGCCATTAGAGTATTGTGAGCACAGCCTTTTAGTGGGTGTCTAAAAAAGTGATCTGCATGTAAGTAACGTTGATTCAAAATGAAAAAAAACCTACAATGTTTGCAGACATGAGTCATGCATTTATCAAGACAAGTAAAGCCTCTTACCCATAAACTCGATGCCCAATTGGTCTGTTGTTCCAGGAAGCAGGAAGGAGAAAAAGAGACAGAAAAGAGACGTTACTGAAGGAGTCAGTGAAGGTACCAACATGCACAGCTAATCAACCTGTAAACTTCTGCATTCGTTACACTGAAGAAGATAAATGTTAGAAATGTTACAAGAAATGAGGCATGCAAACGCATTCTGTTACTTTCATTTTATTTTCCATCTTCATGTTAACCTCTCTGTGTTTGTATCAGGGTATGGAAAATAGAACTAAACAAGCAAGAAAACTCCTCATCTCTTGACAGTTTATACACTTGCAGTTTATTTATGTTGTTTGGCTAATCTCTGACCAACTGATATTGATTGATCATTCTTTCACCCTTCTTTAGGAGTCAAGGCTCTGTGTTTGCCTCTCAGGCGCCATTTACACTGCAGGAAAATGTGGCTGAAAATCAGATTTTGGAGGGTCAAGTGATCAGATGAGGCAGTTAGAAACAAGTGGGGACTTGAGCCTCATTCATATGTGGCTCTGATCAGACTCCTAACTTATCGTTTGGGATGTGACTCCAGTGGGTCAACCACTGTAGAATGATGTGACTCTGACTTTCCATCAGCACAAACTGGGAGCAGTTAGCAAAACAGAAGCTGGGATGGTAACACAACAAAAACCAATCTAAAAATCAGCAACATTTTCCTGAAAATTGTGCACTTGATTTAGCATAAATTAGATATTAAATCAGTAATTTCATTAGTTATTTTAAATAGTTTTTCACCAGACTACATTGATATTCATTTTCTTTGTTACATAAAAGGTGAAAGAAATAAATGCAAACTAAATCATAGATACACGGCCTCATTAAAATTATGCTAAATGTCCGTTTACATGTTCTACCTCAGCCACACACTTTTGCAGTCATCAAAAAGTTTGTTCCATAATTAAAGCTGGATATGTAAACACAAATATGAGTTTCTACTAATTGGTTAGTTTTACAATGTGAATGTTACAGCAAATCACCATAACATAAATTTTGAAAGGTGCTGTCCAGAAGCTTATTCAAGCCCCATATATCCATTCCAAAAAGCAATACGATAAATGTCTGGGATGCCGAAGGGCGACCCTCGATGGACGCTGTCCTGCAGGTGATTGTATTTCAGCATAGCTTGTCAATCAGCCAAACCAGAAATAAGCTGTGCTGAAGAGGGGAAACTTGTAAAACCTGCAGGACAGTAATGCTCGAGGTGCACACTTTGGACACCACTGGTTCAGGTGGAGTTTAGCAGGGAGTCTTCTTCATGCCACCCATCTAGCAGAATGTTCCAGTGAAATTATAAAGCACCTTCAGCATTATTGTCTTATTTTACAGTTGACACATTGCTATTTGGTATGAAAACCTTTCTGTAATGTTATTCTTGTCATTGTGCCACAAGCAAGTAAGTCTCAAGTCTTTATCTCAAGTCCCGAGTCAAGCTTTAAGAAAACACAGTCAGGTCAGTCAAGTCTTAAGTCAAGATAGGTGTCTCTCAAGTCAAGTCCCAAGTCTGAAACTTCAAATTTGAAGTCCTTTTAAGTCCTTTTTTTTAGACAAATCTGAATTATACACCTAATGTAAATAAACGACCATGTGCTCTTCGTATTTACTTACTTACTTACTAGTGTAACTGAACATGGCCCTTATATTTTCTGTCCTCAGGGAGCAACAACTGCTGCTGCGAGCCCCTCCCTCCATTTGGTTCAGGTAAAATATGATTAAATACATGAGAGTATTTTATAGAATTCATCTTTAGAGTGTTTTTATTCCCTTGCAGTCTTGGTATTGTTCTTCTCTCCTATGGGCTGGATGAAAACGGCGATTTTCCTTGTTGAAGAGTTGGCAATATGTGTTGCTATCCGCTGTACCAACGCAAGCTTAAACATCAACAGGAACTGAAGACTTGATTTAAACCCTGATATTTTTATGTCTTTCTTTTTATACCTATGCAATAGCTAAAATGTTTTTCAACCCATTGTCCTATAGAAATCTGGCATTTATGTGGCTGAATGAATTTGTATGTTTCAGAGTAGAGTCAGCTTAAATAAAATAATTAATTGAACTTTTTTGATCTCACATTTGAGAAATTTGCCTCTGCATTTAACCCACCCCCTTGGGGGGTTAGTGGGCTGCCATTGCAGGGCTTACATTAGTAATATGGGGTTAAGGGTCTTGCTCAGAGACCCAGAGTGGCAGTCTGTGGGAGTGGGTTTCAAACTCACAACCTCAGGATTCCAAGCTCCATGCCCTAACCACTAGGCTGCCACCCCCAGGAGCTAATGGATGCTGTTTCATTTCACACAGTACTCATCTGAAGTATGGTGACTGTTTTGGTAGCTTAGTATAAAGGAGGGTTTCATATACCTTCCATTTTTAAAGAAAATTATTTGTATGTTTTGCTTCTAACCATTTCAGGGAAACAAGAGGTTGTTAGTAATTGTGTCGAAAGTTGCTTACATATTTGGTATTAAAACCCTAATTACATTTTTGCTGTAATTTTCTAGGTGTGCAAGGTGAAATAGCTTGTAGGCTTCTAAGCTTTAGCAGAAACAAATACGCAGAAACTGATTACTCTCTTGTGTAGTGCAATTTTAATAATGAAAAGGAAGAAAAGAACAACCTTTTACTGCTTTTACACAAGATTGCGTGTCATGCGTTTATGCTTGCAAGCTATTTGTGACCTTGTGTAGTTAATGTGCAGAGTTTCTTTCCATTGGTTCATCCTTGAACATGTTTGCCTGGCTTCATTTAAAGAAGTTCTTGAAAAGGTAAGGCAGGAAAACATTTTGGAGGAATCCGCTGTGGCATGCATGGTGTAGCTTAATATACAGTTCCCCTCACTGACTCTGCAGAATATAATCCAAGGGAAGTGCAGGTGTCTGACATTAACCACACAGATGTCTTTATTTCCTGAGTAGTACTGCCTTACACGCTATGGTGGGTGATCTGTTCTTTCAAATGCTCAATCCTATCTGACCCAGATCTTATCAGGTAATGTCAGCACATGTATAAGTGCATCATTTTTCAGGCCAGGATGACCTAGATAGTGCCTTCCGGCTGAAAGATCCCAGAGATATCATCCATATTCAGCATACTATGAATTGACTCAGAAAGTAAAACAGGGAACTGAGGCTAAAATTTTAATTTCCCATAATGTACTATTGTAGCTCTAGCACAGAGTTTACTTTCATTAGCTTCTTCTCTTTGCTAGAAAAAATTTCGTGAAAAAGCTTGCTGTTAGAACATGACAGCACAATCCAGCCGCCACCATATTTCATGATGTTTTCTTTTAGTTTATGTCCATATGAGGTGTTTTATATGGAATACAAAAAAAGTTATATCATGATCTCTAAGCAGGCTCTCCTGTGCAACATGGGACGACTTTCTTTCACACTAATAGTACTACTACTATTCAGTAAAAATGGCAACTAAATATATAACGCAGAAATTTGCAAATAGTTGGATTATTTTGTTATTAATTCTTTAACTAATTGACTTTCTTTCAGAAAAGAATGGCATCCTAATAGAGGATTCCAGTAAAAAACAAGGAATAAAGCTTACGTTTTTAGCTGCTCTGACCTCAGCAGCCTCTGGAGAGCAGAAAGAAATAACAGCATGATCTGTTCTTTGAAACTCTGCACTTTTTAGTCCTTTTGGGTGGATCCAAAACAGCTGCTGTCGGGTTTTGTAAACCCAATTTCCCATGGAGCTCAATGAGTAGAGCCTAGCACTAAAGCTGCCAAGGTTAGGGATTTCATTTTCTGTACAGTTTCATGGGTAAAGTATATATCAGCACCAGTACTGTCACAGTTATGAAGGTTTAGTTCCCATTGGGGCCAGCTGTACTCATGATGTATACACTCTTGCTAGGGTAAACCTCCTTAGATGGAAGGATCCACAAAGTGTCAAATCTTTAATATGGTTTATGGAAACTGAATTATTGTACAGGCAAGAGGTGCCCCAGGGAAATAGCATATCTGTCTCACACAATGGAAAGACCAGCAGAGAGCATGCTTCTAATAATAATGAAAAAAACAAACAAATAGTTCCAATTGAAAATATTGGGGTTCTTCTTTATTTACTTTATTTATGTTATTCAACTGTATTAAATTAATACAATAATATAGAAAATCCACAAATTCATTATTTGTTCCTTTGAGTAAAATGTTGTAAAAGTTTCAGAAGTAAATCAAAACTCTCCTTTTTCATTATTTTCATAAACTTCTATCAAACCATTGACTTAAAAAAGCATCAATTGAATTGAATTGTTATGAAAGTATTCCTAACTGCTTTGAGAACGAGCAAAACTTTCAGAAATGTAAGTTTTTCTAATTTTTAATGAGACATAAAATTGTGCCACAAAAGAAACAAAAACTGTCAAAATTATTGGCTTTCATAGGTGTTTGTAGAACTATTTTATCTATAAAAATATTTTGCAAAATATGAAAAAATCTTTGCAATCGTGCCTAAATAAATACAGCATATAAAGCATTTCAGAAGCAAAAAACCTTAGTAGCTTTAGTATGTGTCATATTAGAAGAGCGTAGCCCCCCCTGGGAGGTCATTATTCTCCAGCGGTTGTGCCAGGTGTGGATGGCAGCAAGTCGGTATTATTTCACCAAATTTTCACACCCTGTGGAACCACATGTAATGAAGGGAAGAGGTCGGCTTTCAGATGGTCTCTATAGAACAACATTGTTTCTCTAAGGCATGGGTCTTCAACGTTTTCCAGGACAAGGACCCCAAACTGATGGCAAGATGGAGCGGGGACCCCTAATTATATATATATTGAATACAATTGTCTTCTATCAAACTGGTCCCATAGTCACTCTATTACAGATGGAGTCATGTAACGAAAGTAATTTCTCCCTGGGATTATTAAAGTATTTCTGATTCTGATTCCTGGTTGATGGGACAGGTGTTGTGAATGAAACGGTTCCCAGCTTTAAAGAGCTCCTGTGTGTCGCTGAATGTGTGCATTGATGACTGAAAGACAT